GGGGGGAGCTTGCAACTCGGCAGGACTTGGGCTGCCGTCAGGACTGACACGCGAACAGCCGGTCTGCGGGCCTGCCATTGTTCGGCTAGCAGGCCGCAGGCGGCGGGGAGCGTGTGAAGTGTGGCGGGTAGCGAGTTTTGGTTGCCAGTTTGGCGTCTTTTTAACACAATGACAGTTAATTAGATTGTAAGGATAGGTAAAGGATATATGCGCAAGTATAATGTTAAGTTTTCTATGCAGGTGCAATAGTTTTCCGCCCGCAAAACTTTATGTCTGCCTGTAAATGAGCCTAATTGACTTGGTTACGAAAGTGGTTGGGACAGGCAAGCTGGCATTGATTTTGGATGTAGATACGATAAATCGAATATTATATAATGTGTATGTATACAATTTGTTATGCAGATGTTTTTCTCAACCTTATATTTTGCCCACAACTGTAGCACAAATCTTACAAACCAAATTAAACCAAATTTCATGCTAAGAAATTCCCTCATTTAATTGCCAGTTTTCCATGGCTTCAACTAATGAAATCATTAAAATTGTTTAGAAGCAAATTTGCAAATGGCATGCAGGACAGACATACACACGCACACATTAGTAAACAGCGCCATGTTAAATTTATGTGGCTAACTGAAGGTAAATATAATATACACTCATACAAACATCCAACTTGAGCCGGCGGAGACCAACACAGACACTGCTAAAGTTGCGAGTGGCGCATTTAAAGGCAAAGATGCCAAACTACCCCCATGTCGCCCCCAGCCTGAGCCAAGTGCCAGCCGCGTGCGCTACTTAAACCCTTGGCCAAAACTATGCCCCAGCCCAACGAGGAGGACAACGGCGCCCAGACATCGAAAACATGATTTTAGTGTTTTCAAATTTGAATTTTAAACAAGTCATAATATAATTTGGCTAAGCAGTAAAGGAAAAAGCAACATCACAAGCACAAAACCAGAACCTCATACTGCCGAAACCCCTTGTTAGGCCCTTGTCTGTGTCCACTTGCTGGGCTTTAATCCGGCAGAGAACCCGAGCCATGGCCGTATAACCCAACCCAGTCCGGCAGCCACGCAGCTCGAGAAAATTAGCTTAAGCTGAGGCCCAGCTCATTTTTCGTTTGGCGTTTTTCTTGCTCACCAAATTGTGAAATTTAAATTAGATACAAAAGTAGCTCAAGCTCACTGTTTATATATATTATATATATGAATATATACAGTATGTACATATAAATCCTGTATGCTTATATACAGGACTACGTGGTGGGTGTTGGGGTGCAGCTTGTCCGCGTCGGGCAAACTATCTCACACGAAATATTGTAATTTTCTTCCAACCAAAGACGTAAACGGATATTAGCAGCAAATGTATCCCCACGTCATTTGTAGTCCTTAACGTTGTCCTGCCGTTGACTCTGCTTACAGCAAATGGCAATGGAAGCGCCCTTTGTTATCGAATATGCTGATTAGTTTGAGCAGGGTTGATATATCGCCAACTGCAAACTTTCAATTAATTGAGCAATTACAGTCTAGAAATAAATCCAGAAAGCGCGATGATGGCTGGGAATGAGCTACTTGATGTATCGAATATTTATGTGAATGATTATATTAATTTCAAATTGTCGACTAGAAGGTACCTTTAAGTATAACAGTTACTTAATTTAAAAGACTAAAATATATCGGCTATTCGATATTCTGACATTAAAAATGTCATCTCTAAGTGCATGCACATGTGCTTAACAACACAGCCTTAAAATCGAACGGAAGGTAATTTTTAAAATCGTATAAATACCGAATTATCAATTTGCTCAATATGAAAATGAATTAGTAATAAACAATCGATTTCGAATATAATTATATAATTTATAATATATATAGAGAATATGTAATAAGGGCACATAATAGATCGAATAAGTAATTAGGAAATATGTCACATTACATGTATTTTATAACACAAACTATCATATGTATACATGTATTTAATATGTCGTCTAATATCGACTTTTCGATATTCCCGATGCCAAGTGTCATCTCTAATTGCGAGTGCTACAATGTAAATCGAAACTGCTTATGAGGTTGGTAACAACTTTTTGCCGCATGGCAGCTCGACTGGGCTCGACTGGGCTTGGACTGCTGTCGCGGGCTTGCTTAAAAGGGACTAAGTATATATACACACTCACACACACACACAGACAAACATATATAGTTTAAATCATATAGTAGTTGCTCTGTCGCAGTCGCCGTCGTTACACTTTAAATATGCCTCGGTGGGCCACACGGAGTGTGGGCGTCGCATTTCTAGGGCGTTGTTATCGTCAACTCGACTTGCATACATTTTCCATTCTAATTTCTAATTATTTCAATTATGTGAGTGTGTGTGTGTGTGCAGTGGCTGTAGCTGTAGTTGTGGCTGTCTGACCAGCTGGGTGGGCTGTGTCCTCGACCTGCCGGATTCCCCCATACCAAGCGCCACATAGCCTGTCTGTCTATGCGAATTAATTAAGTGTTTTCGTGCGCGGGCAAAATCCTTTTGCGGTTCAGCTGCCTCGTGGGCTGAGTAAAAGTTATAGGGCTTAGCTAAGGCTAAGGCGTTCTGACCATGTGTTTACGTTCGTGCATATGTGTGTGCGTGAGTGAACGTGGAGCTGAGAGAAAATCAATTATAAATTAAACATTTATTAAAGAAAGCATTGCCTTGCCCAAGCAGCACAACTTGAGCTTCGGCCCACTATGCCTATGCAAATCAAGCGGCGCATAAATAATGCGACATCATTATTTAGGCAGGTAGGCGAAAGATTTAGCTGCGGATGCGGCCAGAACGTTTTGTCGTCAAGCCAGCGATGGCAGTCAAAGTATCTCAGGTAACCAAGGCAACCAAGCCATCCAACCAACCATCGATCCATCCATCAATTATGTTGAAGTCGAGCTTTGCCTTTTGGCAGCTGCTTAAATGTGATTCCACTCATTTCGATTGTCTCCCTCTTGATTATGCACATGCATTTGGTAGACGCGCTCGTACATCAAACTCGAAGCTCTCAGCCCGTTGCTGGCAGTCGAACTCGAATAAATGCGGCCTGCATGCATATACGATCTACAAATATATGTATCTGCGACCATATGCTGATAGATGCCGAGTATAACTGATTTGTGTGTATATATCTGCATTGGTAATTTGCTATAAAGCGAATTTAATATGGCACGCAGTGCCCCTTGATTTTCTTTCCTTAAGACTTGTGTTTTTCATTTTATGTTTATACTCTGTTCGCAGAGAGAAAGAGACGACATGTGTACCATAATCGTCTTTTCTGATAAAGTTTTAAATTTTTGACCAAGAAAACGAAAAGTCCCAATAAATTGATAGCCTACAATTTGGACCTACCTAGCCCAAAGATCGCGTCAAAATTATTAATGGTACTTTTTGCATACCTTCCCTTTAACCCATACAAATTTAGAAAATATTTCATCTTTAAAGGTACTTCCTTATTGTTTTGATATGTAAGCACATTTTCATCCCAAGAATGAAACATTTCATTAAAATCGGACTATAGTCAGCGAATATCTTGAACTTGTCTTAGGGAATTTTTGTGTATGTATGTATAAAAGAAATTTCTAATGTTTGTTACGGCAGCTTAACGCGGAATACAAGGGTATTTTCTAGTCAGGCACTCTTGACTAAAACAATATTGTGTGCATTTGCACATGCGCAGCAGGAACCCCAAAGATACTTTGCATGCCAGATGAGAGACTTGACTGCTCTTACTCTAGCCTTTCTGTTGATTTGCATTTACATTGTTAAGTAGCCTGGAACACAGACAGGCAGACGGACAAACAGACAGACATAGGAAAAGAAACTATTAGATCGACAAAAGTTGCACGTATTACACACTTTTGAACACTCAAAGTCCAAAAATATATATATGTAAATAATATATAGAGTTAACGGTAAGCAGAGTTGCAATACATATGGACATAACATCAAGAAAATGATATCGTAATACTAATAGATGGATAACTTTAAAAATTGTCTCTATTTTATGGTAAGAGTCGAAAATTATGAATATAAATTAATATCCTTCTATTACATTTTTAAGTTTTCTCCTTTTTTCAGAAGGTGTTATTTAGGCCATGGAATTTCTGTGCGATGTTAGTAACTCGCAGAATATTTTTTTTACGATGGTCGGGACGTTATTTAATTTAAAATACTGGGCGGGAAATTAGAAAAAAGACAAAATATCGATGAAGCACGCACACAATATTATTTTCACGCAATTATTTAATACAACTTTAATTATTAAAATCTTGAAAACCTGGAAATAACCGTTTGCAAGATTCAGATTCTACTCGAGTTAGTCTTGCGCACAAAGTCTTAAATCTCTATATATGTATAAAACTATTTGTCCTGACTGACTGAATGGGATGAAGGTGCACGTTAAGACGGGGTTTCGGGAAATTTGGCCCACATGCGTGGAAAAATTTGTATGAAACTTTATTGTTTATTGTTTATTGATCCTCAAACTCAGCTTCAAAGATCTTTGTTCAAATTCATTTGAGGAGTGCTTCACACTTTTCAAAAAATACATTGCTCCTTGGTGGAAATGGGGGTCAAAGATTTGGTGGATGATGTTTCTCGCTCAAATTCATTTCCAAGGATCTATATACAAAATCATTTAAGACGTCTGCGATGGAAAGTGCGATTCAGCGATTTTTTTGTTGAAGTTTTAAGTTTTGTCCGATTTGCTTCACACTTATTTTCAAAAGCTCTGCATAAGAACTTAATGAACCCGTGTTTCAGCGATTTGGGAAATTTCACCCGCAACATTTGGAAATTGGCGGAAAACGGTTGTATGAAAGTTTTTGTTAACCGTCTCATCGTTTTCAAAATCATTTTTAAAGCGGGTGGACTCACTAGTATAATATAAAAAACCTATTCACTTAAGATAAAACTCTCAAAGCAGGCGTCAATATGACTGTCATTGATTTTCAGGGTAAGAAAGTGTAGCCCGAAAATGTTCAGTCTGCAATCAACTGCGACAGCTAAAATTTGTTTTTAATTTTTCCTTTTTGGCTTTTTGGAAAAATTTTCTAAATTTATATTCCCCTCTTTTTGGTTCCAAATTTGTAAAGTTCAATGTCGATGTGGAAGCAAATATCTGGCAAGTCTCGATGCCTGCTGGGAAAAGCCCGGATTCTAGATTCTGTTCTACTTCGAGGCTTATCGAGCGAGGACCACAATCCCATGCCACAGCACAATCCCACTCCAACGTGCATGGAAAAAAAAAAATTGTGGAAAAGAATACTCCTTGCGTCGATGACCACCCCAAACCACGCAAGGCAGAGAATATTCAGGAAACTTTTCCCTTCTACAACCTGATAAAATTCAGCAAGGATTGCTGTAAAATGGATTGCGCGGAGCTAGAGTTCCCTAGCTTCGACAAGTGTCTCTACAAAGAGTCGGACAAGAACAAGCGCAAGTACCAGATCACCTGGGTAGAGTGTCCACCTGTTGAAATCAAGCCCAAGAAGATCTGTTGCCATGTCAGGGACGCGCGCCCACCTTTTGAGCGTCGCAAGCCCAAAGAGAGACCCAGCACGGCCTGCCAGCCACCCCCAGAAAAGTGTGAAGACGTGAAATGTAAAAAAATTACAATGCCCCACTGTTGTAGGCCTGCGCGTGTTCCTGGCAAGTGCCAGCGTATCCGCTATCCCAGCGTTTGCGCAAAGGTGAAGGCGCCATACCCAGCCTTCTCGGAGTGCTCCCGTCCCAAGCTGCGCAAGAGGCGTAGTTCCGAATGTCACTGTTGGGATGAAATACCAATGTGCGTGCTGCTCAGGGTTCTAAACAAGCGTCTCAACTCTGGCCGTATAAGCATGAATCCCTGCAAGCCCTGAATCGGGGCTGCACGTTTAGAGCTTTTACCTAGCAGCACTGACAGTAGTATTTCGCATCAACAGAATCAATTGATCGTAGACTCCAATTGAACATCATGGACAAATTAATATCACATAATTTTTCATAATAAATACTGATTCTAAATATTTGCTGTTTTCCTCAAATTCTCGGCAAAGGGTTCGGTTTTACCAGAATTTGTAGAGCTGCAAATTGAACTTCTGTGTAAAAAAGAGGTAGCCAAAATTGCTAATTGGAATCCTGTCCATTGGCTGTTCCTTGTTTATCAATTTACACGGGATTATTTTTAGCAAGAATTTGATTTGCAGCGGGCAAAGGGAATATTTTGCATTTTTACGATCATTCTATATAATTTATAGCAGCGTGGCTTTTAACTGAGTTCAGGTAGTCTGATTTTGGCTGCCATGCAACGTGGCAGCCATAAAGCTAGCTGTGACCATTTTGTTTTAAAATCAAAGTAGGCATATCGATTTTTCACACAGTTCTAAAGATACTTTCCTAGCATTGTCAGATTCAGACATGATTTGGTCGCAATAAGAACAAATTCAAAATTTTTTTCTCCTCTTGGCATAACTTCCAAATTATATTTATTTATTTTATTTTATTTTTGATTCGACACTTACGAAATGACTGGTATACTGTCTATTGCGAAAGGCGTTCGTGTCGTAAGCCCCATATGTCGTTGTTTGTCCTTCAGTTCAAGATTCACAGCGCTGCTGCGTTCGAGGACGGCAGCGGGACAGGGATTCTTGCAGAGACATGCTGAAATCGAAAGATCTTTGTTGGCGGGATTCCCTATTGGAAGCACCCAAAGCGTAAAGCAATTGAGTAACTATCCTTTGGAGAGAGAAAGTAAACCCCGTACTATCAACCGGGGGATGTCCGGTAGGAAGCAAAAGGAAGAAAAACCATTGGGTGTCGCCGGGGAGGATTTTGGAAGAAAGCCAACGAGCAAAAAGACAAGCCTCGAAGGGAAGATCTATTGTCGAAAACAGAAAGAGGAAAAGCCGCTCAATATGCATGGAGAGATATTGTGCCGAAAACAAAAGGAAGAAAAACCCGTTGGAATAAATGGGGAGATCTTTGGCAGAAAACAAAAGGAAGAAAAGCCCGTCAGTATAGATGGAGAAATCTTCTGCAGAAAGCAAAAAAAAGAAAAGCCCGTCAGTTTAGATGGAGAAATCTACTGCCGAAAACAAAAAGAAGAAAAACCAATCCTTACCAGTGGAGAAATATTATCCCGCAAGATAAAGGAACAAAAGCCCGTTGGAATAAATGGAGAGATCTTCTGCAGAAAACAAAAGGAAGAAAAACCTACCAGTATAAATGGCGGGATCTTTTGCAGAAAGGAAGAAAAGGAGGAAAAGCCAGAAGCTATAAGAGAGATCTTCTGCAGAAAACAAAGAGAAGAAAAACCCATCAGTACGGATGGAATGATCTTTTGCAGAAAACAAAGGGAAGAAAAGCCCGTCGGTATAAATGGAGAAATTACCTGTCGAAAGCAAAAAGAAGAAAGGCCCGTTGGTACGAATGGGGATTTTGGCAGAAAACAAAATGAGGAAAAGCCCGTCGTTAAAAATACAGAAATCGTCTGCAGAAAGCAAAAGGAGGAAAAACCCATGACTGCGAATGTTTTTGGCAGAAGGCAAAAGGAAGAGAAGCCAGTCAGTCTGAATCCAGAGATTATCTGCCGCAAGCAAAAGGAAGAGAAACCCTTTGAAATGATCAAAGAGATCCTCTGCAGAAAACAAAAAGAAGAGAAGCCTATTACTACGAATGTTTTTGGCAGAAAGCAAAAGGAAGAGAAGCCAGTCAGTCTGAATCCAGAGATTATCTGCCGCAAGCAAAAGGAAGAGAAACCCTTTGAAATAATCGAAGAGATCCTCTGCAGAAAACAAAAAGAAGAAAAACCCATGACTGGGAATGTTTTTGGAAGAAAGCAAAAGGATGAGAAACCCTGTGAGAATGTCCTTTTGGCTGATAATATGCTAAAAGCAGATCGCTTGTCTGAACGATCGGCAATTAGGAAATAAGACACTTTCCTGACAGTACAAATTTAATCAAATTATGCGGTGTACAAAAAAATAAAAATAAATAAATTGTTAAATTGCAGTCATTTTCATATTTTATACCATACATCAGCAGGTAATTGCTGATCTGCTTTTGTAATTCCTTTATTCAAATTGATTGGGTCAATATTTTGTGCTAGGGACAGAAGCAGATACATTCGGTGAACCTTGAACGTGGGCCGACCTGTGGCTTGCGCTGAACTATTTCGATTTCAATCATTGGTAACTCGCATTGTTTCCGATCAATCGATTAAAATCGACTTGGAAATCATGGTTATTGACCAGGTCGTAAACAAATTAAGAATGAAAGGTTCTAGAAATATATTAGGTAAATTGGGTATTAAGGACCTATAAAGTATGCACATTTTTACCTTATCCTAAGAACCCCACACTTGAATCAATGTATTTTAAAGTCCATGCAATTTTATATTAAAATCAGACTAGACCCACAGCAAAAAAGAGTCATATTCCCAATATTGTTGGGCTGAGAGCAGAAGATTATTTGTAAAATTAATTTCTTAGGTAGGAACTCTCGACAAGAACAGTCGTAACTTCACTTCTCTTTAAGTTCAATACACAAATTGGTACTTTGTCATGAAATAAATATTGAATAATCGAAAGTATTAGAAGCCACTAGATTTATAGTCAAAGTTTAAATTGCTTTTTCGAAAAGTACAACATCAAAGGAACCCTTGCTTTTGGATAAGCTAAGGAGTTTGCTTTGCTCTGAGATTAGTAGAGTTCCGAGTATTCGTTGGATAGATCTTTTGGAATTTCAAAAATTTGTTTAGGATTTACGTATTATCTAAATTATATGTTTAAAACAAAATTAAAAAACCATAGAAAATTTTCATTGCGAGAAAAGTTTTCAGCATGCTCTCATTTCCCAAAAGATGTCGCGTAGGCAACATCGTTTCGGTGGCTCGGCTGGGATCGTTTAGCCTGGCAAACCGACCAATACGCCATTACTCGGACAAGGAGGAGTGTAAGCCAGTAACTGCCTCCAAGTGCGGTCTTGTGCTTAACGAATACACCTGTGGCTTAAAGCCCACGAAGATGTACGTTACCAAGCCGAAGGTTCACCATCCTCCCCTGGTGTCGATGTGGAAGATTGAAGATTGTGAACCGGAAATATGTACTTTGGATCTTCGCTACGACATGAAGTATTACCGCATTTCAGATAAGAAGAAGCGCAAATACCAGGTGACATGGAACGAATGCCCACGCCTTCTTGTCAAACCAAGAAAAGTGTGCCTCTACGAAAAAATGGTGCGCCCCAAGATAGAGCGTCGCAAGCACGCCAAGGTGATTGCTGTTCCACAGATAACGAAGTCATGTATCGCACTAATACGTAAAGATACGTGCGAGTACGTCAAAGCTCCTTGCTGCAAAGTTGGTCGCAGACCACCCAAGTGCCGTGCTGCTTTCCGCACTCTTGGCAGCTGCAAAAAACGCAAGACGCCCTATCCAAGCTTTTCGGAGTGCAAAAAGGATGAAGCGATACCATTACCGCCGACCGAATGTAAATGCTTGAACGCCTTTGCCTTGTGCGATGCATGGGCAGTATTGCGGCGACGTATTGCTAGGGGACAACAGCCAGGCCAGGCCTGTGGCGAAGCTTAAGACTTAGCTCGAATAGTAAGGTGCCCCAAAGTCCCGATGAGCAAGAGATCTAGTATGACATACTCGCGACGGATAACACAAATAATAAAATTATATTATATATAAATTTATTACAAAATAACTGACATTTATAATAGCTTCATGTTAAATAAACGCAAATGCAAATTTCTTACCAGATATTTTTTCGACATTTTATCATGGTTGCTGTATATTTCCTGTCAGTGTTTAAAATTGTACAGGCATGCTCTAATAATTGAGTTTTTCCATTCTAGCAGTATATTTGGAAGTAAACGAAACAAAATTCAATAAAAATGCTGCGAAATATGGCTTGGCGTTTTCATTTGACTTTGCGACACACTGCATGGTCAGTTGCAATTGCTTCTCGATTGTTTGGTAAGGATGCCTCATGTGGCAACAAGTCATCCAAGTGCGACTCCAAAAACAAGGTCAAGCCTAGCTGTAAACGCACACGCAAGCCCCAGGAGTGCAAGAAGACGCCTGCGCCTTACCCTAGCTTTTCAGAGTGTAGAAAGGAGCCAACTCCGCCGAAGTCACCCAGCGAATGCGATTGCCTAAAGCCGGACAAATGATTTAAGAAAATAGTAAAAATAAAACTGCAAATTATTCAAAGTTAAATCAAGGAAGATTTTTTGCAAAATTTCATTTGAGATATTCTCTTGCCTATAGATAGATATCTGGCTTGTAGCTATTCGTGTACACACTTCCGCTCTTGGAAAATCTATAAACATTCATCCTTGGTATAAGCTCATATAAGCTGTCATTACTTTCAAATTAAAAACGTTTTCAAATTGAAAACAAAGTAACCCTAGGTGTCTTGGGCTGATATTAAATATATGTGTTTCACACATTTTCATCAGCTTTTATTATATGATTCGGTTTGTTACACAATTTTATTTATGAAACTAAAATTTTGGGGGAAAAAAATAAGAGAATAATATAAATTATTGTTGTGTCTAAATTCTAAAAGCAAATATGCAAACGTTAAAGCAATTCTGGCGACATTTAAGAAATGGAGAGTTGAGCCTTCATCTGGCTGCCAACTCGTCTATACTGGATAATAGATGCTGGGATCTTCGCAAGCAGGCCCGCCGATGTGAAGCGCCCCCAGCAAAGCGACGTTCCAGCTACGATCAACATTTTTATCGGCCGCGTTCTCGTGATCGCCACTTTCTCAGTCAAAATTGGTTGTCTAGAGAGGACGTGGTTCAAGATGTGGCAAGCGATGATAACCACGAGGCAGTCCGCGCTCATGAACCAGAGGAATCTGTATATGAGCCTATGAGCGAGAGCCGCTTCGATCGCATCCACTACAGACCAAAGCAACTAAAGGACCGATTCTATGAGCGTACTTGGGCTGATTTTGAAGATAAAAAGAGTAATGAACCGTTAGACTCTCTTCAACCCAGCTGTGCGGCAACACAGCCAGGACTGACCCCTGAAACCAAGCCACCGATCAAGTACAGAAAGCCCGCAGAGTGCAGAAAATCGGATGTCCAGAGCAAAAAAGTGGTTAAATATGAGTGTGTGGCCTGCAATCGTTACTCTCAGACGCGCCCACCCCTTCTCTTGTGACGTGTTACTGTTTAAGATGCGATTAAAAATGATTATAAATAATTTAAGAAAATATCTTGTTATTTAAAATAAAGAATTATATAATTATAAGCTGAATGCATTGAAGCTACACATAATATCGTTTTTAAACGTAGGCTCTAGGCCAGACATCTTGCACATATTGTGGGGCAGCAAGCATTATTTCCTTAGATCCATTCAACAGTTTATGCATTTATGGTTTTACCTCAGCCCATTTACCAAATAGGCTCATGGGAAAGCTTTAACTATCCATACCAATCTCGGAGCTTTGTATTTTCCAATGTGTGCCTAGAAAGGAGTCGACGGTCAGACTGACCGACGGATTGGATCGACCCGGCTATATTGTATGTATGCATGTGTTTTTAATGCGGTCTAAAAAGCCTTTTTCTGTTCCAGGCATTTGCAACCCAAAATCATTTCTACCGCATTTAAATAAATATGAGGAAATCCAGTCAAAATCGTTGATATTAAGAAAAAACCTCATCAGGTTGGCTATGACTTTTACTTAAAATTTATCGGGAGATGGTTATGTGTTCCATACAACATCATTTAGTTTTTAAGTTGATTTTCTGGAGTTAGTATCATTCCGGAAAAAGTAAAAATGAAAATCGTTCAGTAACACTATTTTTGGTAAATCACACGTTTGGGTATAAAATTTCTTCGAAAAATTGTATTCTCAAAGTAATCTAAATTGACGATGCGGACTTTGAGAAAAAACTTTTCTCAGCTGCCGATGGCGGTAATACAGAGGTGCCCACATTCGCCGAGCCCAGGACTTCTCTCGGCCATTGGCTCTTCGAACGTACTAAGCTCCAATCGTTGTTTGGACACATTGTATGGTCCAGATTCATGTGAAGAGTGCTTAGAGTCTTACAAAATATCTCCTGCCCGCACCGACCTAAAGAAGATGGAAAAGCCAGATCCCTTTAAAAACAAGGATCCATGCTGGCAATCGCTTCGTCGTACGGAGTACAAGTGCCGCACTGATCCCGAGTACTTGCTAGATGCTTTCATTGATGCGAAGAAGAAATGTCTTCAGGACCCCTGTGCATGGGATGTACCCCGTGCTGATTTAACCTACTACAGGCCGTCCGACAAATTAAAGCGCAAGTATCCACGCACTTGGATTAAGTGTGTGGTGAAGCGGCGCAAGGTTAAGATGCAGTGTGCCTGGAAGCCCGTTCCACACGAACGTCGCAAGTTTAAACGTATACACAAGACTTCGACCTGTGAAGCGGACGCCTGCGCTCTAGGTGCCCCACATTTGAAGCTGCTTGTCTGCAGACCTCCAGAAAAATCGTGTCCGCGTATAACAATGCCATTTTGTAAGACAAGCGCTCTTCCACCCAAGTGCAAAACGGGCCACAGAAGTCCAAAAAACTGCCGCAAACGTTTAACCAAGTACCCTGCATTCTCAGAGTGCCTAATAGATCCGTTACCAACAGCACCACCCGTCGAATGCAAATGCCTCAGGACCCCGTCAATGTGCAGTGTTTGGGAATACTTCCGGAACAAGAAATCCTAGAAGAATCGGACCTTAAGGCGTATTCAATTAATTGACGGATAAAATTGCTTCAAAATATTAATGTCAATAAAATTTTGCTGAGCCACATAACTTCATTTATTTACGCCGAAAATTAAACTAGATTAATTTCAGAACATCAAATTAGACATGTTTTATAAAGCATATATTTAAAGATTCCCCCTATAGAGCTATACGCATTAGTAGTTACAGTAAAACTACAATAAACTTATAGTGGTCCCATCCGGGTGGTTGCGATGCGCCGGACCTTTAAGGTTCCATGAGTGCTTTAAAACTGGGACTAGCGGTCGCCAAGGCTGTTGATGCAGGTCAAAAATATATAATTACTTTATGGGGACGGTTATGTCCCAGCCGATAAACAATTGGTAAGAGTATAAAAGGGTCTACATGAGTTGGTCATATGCGAAACAGGCCGAGGAAGAACGGTCTTATTTAATTTCATACCATAATATAGATTAACATTGATTGATTGAAGGCATATGATACTTCCCTATTTTATAGGTAGAGTCTTGCGTCTTGGCGTATATATTATACCATATTGGAATTCATATAACTTCCAATTTCACGTCAGTTTTGGGGAAAGAAAACTCAGCACAACTTGTGCCTTACACAAACAAGATTTACTCTTTTCTGATGTTCATTTGTTCTCAACAATTTTCAGTTTTTATTTAGATTTACTGAAGGCAGTATCATTCCGTAAAAAAAAATGAAAATCGTTCAGTAATAAAATTTTTTTTTTTGATAACGCGTTTGGGTACAAAATTCTTTGAAATGCAGTTTCTGAGAAAGGGCTTCTGTCAGCTTCAGATGGTGATGGTACAGAGGAGTCCACCTTCGCAGATACCAGAAACTGTCTCTAGCATTGGCTCTTCGAACATCCTAATCTCCAAGCGTGGTTTGGATACTTTGTATCAGTCAGAGACATGTGAAGATTGCGCAGAGTCGTACAAAACATCTCCGGTCCGAGAAGACATCAAGAAAATTGAAGAGCCGGATCGCTTTGCAAACAAGGATCCATGCTGGCAATCGCTTCGGCGTACGGAGTACAAGTGCCGCACTGATCCAGAGTTTTTGGTAGATACGTTCATTGATGCAAGGAAGAAATGTCTAGGAAACCTCTGTGCATGGGATGCTCCTCGCTTAGATTTGACCCACTATAAGCCGTCCGACAAGTTGATGCGCAAGTATCCACGCACTTGGAATAAGTGTGTGATGAAGCAGCGCAAGGTTAAGTTGCAGTGCGTCAGCGAGCCCGCTACACCCGAGCGGCGCACGATTGATCGTACACGCAAGACTTCGTCCTGTGAAAAGCCACCTTGTGCCCCAGGGTCCCCACAGTTAAACCTACGGACATGCAAAACCAAGAAAAAAACGTCATGTCCACGTGTAACAATGCCTTTTTGTAAGACGAGCGCTGTTCCACCCACGTGCAAGGCGGGCGCCAGAGGGCCAAAAAAGTGCCGCAAGCGTTTAACCAAGTATCCTGCTTTTTCAGAGTGTCTCATAGACCCATTGCTGATCCCTCTGCCTATCGAATGCAACTGCTCTAAGACTCCACCAATGTGCAAAGTTTGGGAATACTACCGCAACAAAAAATCTTAGACAAATCGGAGCTTTAGATGGCGTATCCACTTAAATTACGCACAAATATTTCATAATATCAATATGCCATAAATAAAACTTTGCCGAGCAACACAACTTTAACGTTCTAATACCCAGAAACCGATTGAAAATTGAGAAAAAGAACGTCTGGTATCTCTTCTACTACGTCGATATCGGGAGCCATGAAATGCAGAAGGATCTTGTTATTCCCATTTTAACATCGGAGAGAAGTCGAAATTGGTTTATAGGTTCTTAAATATAATGTATATTTGACTTTTTGTATACCTCTGCCCTTTTCACCAATAATTGAAAATTCCCTTTTGATAGGGGAGGATTTTCACAAATCGCCTTTAAGTATGCATGTCTTTTAAATTGTATTACTGGGCACATCGAGGTCAATTATTATAGATCTTACAATATTCGGAGAAGGAATATTTGTCAAAAGTGGTATGATGTTCATTACCTACTGCGTACTAATTATATTCAATATAACACTAAAAGTTATCAAATATAAGAATAATGATTATGTTACTACCAAGATTAAGTTTTAAAGAACTCAAAAAGGATAATAATTATACGTATAGTTTATACGACAGCTATTCTTCCATATCTAATGTCATCTATTGTCCTGACTAACTGACTGAAGCGCAACCAAGGCACAGCACAAGGCGTACGGCTGACATTTTTGCTGGAGTTTCCTCTTAGAGGTGGGGAAAACCGTAGTCAAAGTTTTTATAAAAAACTAAAATAGCTCGGGTATAAAATTTTTGTGCTTTGAAGCAAGAAGTCGCCGGCTTAACTTATTAGATTTGATATTTTTCACAAAGAAATGCAATAATAAATAAATAACAATAAAGAGGAAACAAATAAATAATACAAAGCTAATAATAATAATTAAGTTTCTCTCGGCAATGCTGGCATATGTCTTTTATTGTAGTCTTCGGTCAGTCAATAGAGTACCGCAGTGGAGAAGGGTTAGGGCTCAAGCCCCTGAGCTGACGGAATATAGAAAAACTTTTTTAAAATTTAAATTAAAAACAATGTGAGTTTCGAATTTTGCCGAATATTTCATAGCTTACTGTAGAATATTTTATAGCTTACTCTAGATTCAGTCTTTAATTTCCTTTTCGGCAACATCTGAAAATTATTTAAAAATTAAAAAAAAAATGCGTTCTAAGCTGCTATTATCATCAAAGCTATCGCGGCGTTCAGGAGAATTGTCTAAAGCTCTGTTATTCCATCCACAACGTGCCTACAACTGGGGAAACTACGATGCCTCCACTAAACAGTGCTGTAAAGTGAACGACGCTTCGATGAATAAATGCTTGGAAGGTAAATTCAAATGCAAGCCCATTAAAATACCGAATAAATGTTACAAGCGTGTCGATGAGGAGTCTGTGGCGTTCGGTGAATACTCCAAGCATTTGTTTCACATCTTAAGACCCAAAGAGGTTGATTGTGGCCTATTCAAGCATGATGTGTGCTACTATAGACCCTCAAACAAGAATCGTCGCTATCAGCGCACCTGGTCCGAGTGTCCACTTATTTGGCTGCACCCAAAAAAGACCTGCTGCCCTGATGAGGAGTATTATCCTATTCCTCGTCGCCAGAGGCAACCACCACATCCACCAATGAGTTCGACCGAAAAGTATATGTACATGCTGAAAAAGTTGTGCCAAGCGCAGTGTCGCGCAGGTGTGACTATGAAAAAGAAATGCACAATAGTCAGAGAACCCACAAAATGCGAGAAGGTACCGGCCCCATTTCCAAGCTTTTCCGAGTGTAAAAAAGACTGCATAGAGGACTACTGTGACAAAGAATGCGCCTGCAGACTGCTACCCTCTCTCTGCGAGATATGGAGAGAGCATCATCGCAACTCAGGTTTGGTTAAGAAGTGCACTGAAGCTATAGTTGGTTACTGTCCATTCAAGAATCGTGGACGCCCTTTGGGTTAGAGACGAACAAGAAGGCTCTCGATAATTCTCGGCGAAACGCTTGCTGAGTGTGTTACGAGGTTATGCTAATTTCCACAGATCTAGTCATTTGATAAATTTGATACAATATTCGGCATTTGCTATCAAAAATAATTCCAAATTCTAAATTTATATTCGGAAATGGTTCTAAAATGTAAATTGGCTCGTTTGATGTCACCAGCCAGGTGCCTCTGGAATGCACATGGCGGTTTATCTAGCTCTCGCACATTAGCTAGATTTTCAGCCGCATTTCCTGATCCACCCTGCCAGCCTGCTGATCCGCGTTGCCATTACGTGAAAGATAACTGCAAAACGTCCCGCGATGTTCTGGAACTTGAGCTGCCCTTTGACAAGCACATGCTTGATCTAGAGCGGCTGAAGCGGGAAAGATTGTTGGAACCGCCGTGCTGCGTTTTACGCTCGGCCCATCACCATCCCTGTGAGGGGGCATATCCAAGGCGGAAGAAGAAGAAGAAGGAGTGTCCGCCGTTCCGTTCTATGTGGGAGCCACCCTGTCAGCCACCTGAGCAGCCCTACTGTAAAGATATGTTGCCGCGCTTTGATGTTATCTATTACAAGCCGTCGGACAAGTGCAGATGCTTTCAGCGCACGTGGAATGAGTGCCCGCCGGTGAAGGAACGTTTAAAGAAGGTCTGCTGCCTGGATGGCATTGACCCGCCGGAGGTGAATAGGCGCATGAAGGAGCGCTGCCCCCAGACGACCTGTATGTTTGACTACGCACGCATGAAGCACTTTTGCAAAAATCGAAAAGTTGATCCTTTAAACAGCTGCCCCAAGCTATATTGGCCGTGCTGTAAGCCAGCGCGCTGTGCTAGCAGCTGCTATATCCGTAACAAGCTCAGCAAGTGCAAAAGGCTACGGACTCCGTTTCCTTGCTTCTCGGATAAACGCCCGAGGCACCGACCGCTGCGACCTCGACAGTGTCTCCAAGAGCCTTCAAGCAGGTGCGAAATCTGGCAAGTGTTGCACAAACGTGAAAATACTGGCATCAAGGGTTCTTACTGCTAGTCCAGCTACGATCTAGAGCAGTCAATGAAGACAAACCCCATGGTCTATCATCATTGATTGCTCTAGAACGTAACTTGCAAAAGCACCACACACTTTTCGTAAGGAGCACCAGAAGATCCACATACGAGCCTAGGATCAAGGACAAAATCGAAATTAACTGCAATATTTTAAATGAGTCCACCATTCATTTTGACAAATGTGATATAGGCCAGCAGCGGTACCTTTCTAACACTGTGGACCTTCTGGATCCTTCTAGCAAGGATAAGCTACAGTTGTTCGTTAAAGAACGCGTCAGCTGCTGTATACACGTTGAAATTAAATAAAGGACATAACAGCTAGATTTTAATTTTATTTTTACGTAATGCAAAAATTCGACATTTTCGAGATTTTCTAGGGTTCTGTGATAGTAATTTTAGCCGAAAAATAACCGGTCCCAGAATCCAGTCTGTGAAGTGCCCGCAGAAGGGCATAACGCATCAGTTGCCTCGAATCGGGATCTTCCATATTTGTCTCAATTTGAGTTGTGCCAGCTATTTTAATCTTATCTCTGTCAACATCTTGATTAACTCGATCGTACTTAACGCTCTCTGGATGATCCGTTTTTTTAGTTTCTTTTGCCGCTTCCCTTGCGTCTGGCTCTGTTATCGGCACCTCAATAGTCCGAAAGGGCTTATAAGAGGGTATGATATTGTCGTCTCGGCCCTTCTGCTGATAAGGCTTCGGTTTCTCTGATTGATAGAAACCGTCGTTTTGGTCACGGGAATGATCTGGATTTCTATCAGATAAGCGTCTAAGTTTTTCGTTTTGATGCAGAATTTTAAGCTTGCCATCATGTAATCCATCAATTCTGCAGGGAGCCCCACAGTATTCAGATTGGCCCACCATCAAGGGCTGCGACCTACAGCCAGAGTATTTCATGCTGTTGTAGACCTGGGCACTCTCATAGCCATGGATATCTAGCGGGTCCACATCCCGACTATTGATTGCGCTTAAGCCAAGAATTTCGCCATCTGCCTCGCAATTATCTGTAGAGATAGGGCTCTCGTTTATGTTTGACTGCAGGTCTTCCTTGGAGGCAGCTATTGCATATGCATTATCTGCACTGTCTTGCAATGGATTACGAACTGAAATATCAGATTCGACTTGTTGGAGTAGGTATTTGTCAAAAATCTCGCCGGAATCAAAATTCATTTTCTTTGTGAATGGCACATCGAAATCTTCGACCCCGATGCAAGTATCGTCTGTTTTTTCGGGATCTCGCGTTGCGCACAGCTGTATTATGGACTTGACATTTCGCTCCAGCTCCGGATCCAGTGTCTGTTCACTCCAAGTTTCAGTTAATTCATCTGGAAAATCTGATAGCACCGAGTTGTGAAGCTGTCCATCCTGAGCATACTCTGATTCATTGGTTTGTCCGAGCTGGTCACTGTAAGCATTCATGTTGCTATTCTGTTCGCATAGATTACTTCCAGCGTTCTGATCTCTGCCGCTTAGGTCCTGGCATGTTTCATTGCTGTTGTTACTATACGTTTCCTTTGATATATCATTTTCATTAAGTGGAAGTTCGATCCTGTTCTCATTCTGATGTTTGAAATGCGGTAAACCCTCAGCGCTTTGAACTTCCCTATCTCCCGGCCGACTGTGCTCTGAGGTGCTACACCGCAAGACAGGCATCCACGAGGACGGGGTTAGGGTGCAACGACATAATGAGCGGACGTAATAAGCGTTCCCAAACAGACGGGACATTACAGCGACTGTTGCTCATAGACGAGCGTTGATAATATTTGTATATAAATTTTGTTGACAAAAATTTAGAAGTTCCAAAGATAAGTAAACTTACTTTAATTTGTATAGTTCAAGAGATATAATAGACTAGTCCAAGAAAATTATTCTGTTAAATAATGTAACTGTCAGGGGCTGCTTGGATTAAGGGGAAAAACTTGAAACAAAATTCCGATCATGTCTTAATCTAATATACAAAAAATGAAGGAGCATTTGCGACCCGTGAGGGCAAATGGAAACAAAACTGGAAATTAAAGTGTTAGTCCGTATTGTTGAAGGTTTTTAGACCATCATCGACAAACGCAAGCACCTTATGGAGCCAACAAGGCTTCGGGTGAAATCCGAAAACGAGTTGTTCGCAAGCGGAAGACTGGAAGATTCTTTTTGCAACAGCAGAGATAAGTGGTGAACTTGGTTCTTCTAGCATTTTCGTGTTTGCGTTATATATATAATTCTCAAGAGGTTATAGTATAGGACTGGGTACAGAACCGAGAGAGGTTTTAGAATTCTATAAAAATTCATCAGACATCGCTTGAAATTTATAATACGCTTAAGAGGTCACTTAAAAGAATAACTGCATAATGAAATATAGATCATGTTTTTTATTTGGTACATTTATTTTGTAAATATTTTTTCTGAATTGCACACTTGAGCATTTCGCCCCAGGCCTTAGCCATAGAGAAAATCCTTTTAAACTATATTGCATATTTAGCGCATTTTAGGGAAAGTATTCATTGTAGTTTAAATGGACTTAATTTATTTGCAAGTGGGGCAAGGGCAGTATCTTTGGGCAAGCTTTTCCTTTTTGTCCAGAAGACGGTAGGCTTCACATACTGATATTAAGCTTAAGCACTGGCACTCTGGAGGGCGTTCGGGTACTACAGCTGGGTCCATGCGGTCGCATTCGGAGTAACTAGGGAAGGGGCATTTGATCTTCACACAGTCGGTCGGTAAACGAGTTAATGCGCATTTAGGCGGTATGCGGGCCGCGCGACAGCACGGCATGGATTGCCGGGGGCAGCCCTTGGCCTTCTTGTTGATGCAGTCCAGACGCTTTGCTTCATGGTCCTGCGTGCAAGCGGAGCGCGGGCAGATGGGCAAGCAACGCCTTGGGGTCTCGGGCGGAATGGCATCGCACCAGCAGCAGACGCGCTTGGGCACCATGCGAGGACAGCATTCCCACCACGTACGCTGAAATTGACGACACTTGTTCGATGGTCGATAGTACATCACGTCGAAGGGCGTGTCGGGGCACATGGGGCAACACTCGGGTCGATAGTCCCACACGTGGTTCGCCTTCTGCTCCTTATTTACTCGGTTTTTCCACATCGATATAAACTTGTCCGGCTTCCTTTTAAATTCTGATGCCTTGACAGGCTTTTCACAAATGCTATCCGAAATTCGCTTATTCACGCAACAGGAATAATTTTGTTTGTCTGGACAATCCTGCTCGCCGCATGGCCGCACTGGAGGCTCCGTTGGACTACATTTGTTGGATAAATTGGTTTTGCAATCTTCAGTCTTTGTTTCCGGGCAGTCCAGCGGGCGACGGGGATCATATTTTTCGCGCACCCTGTTAGTGCAATGGAATTGGGTCTTGGGTATATAGATTGGCAGGCATCGCGTCATTGACCGAATGGTAATACCCGTGACCACATTCCTTAGCATGGCAGAGGAGATTTGCTTAAGCTTGTTGGCAAAAGGAATAAATTTTAAATTAAATTGACATTACCGAAAGTTTATCCAAAAATTGTATCAATACCAGAACAAAGTTTTGAAAGGAACTTTCTCTGAGTTAGATAGCCAGGCTAACATGTAAGGGGTTCGTAAAAACCCAGACATATCATTGGCCATCCAATCGTCAAAGGAGTTTCAATTTGGTTCCCTTACGAGCCTTACGAACTTAATGAAAGATTCCATTTTTAACGAGAATAGTTGTTTATTTGTTGGGATATAAAGCAGCGGGGTCCTTCTGCCACAAACGACTGTTGTTTATCCACAAAAAAATATTGTGAAAGCTATGGGACTACAGACGAAGGTGGAAGAAGGATCACGCTGCTGCATACCACAGATTAAAGATGAAACACAAAGAATTACTTTGGACCCAATGGCACGATGGAGGGATATTTAAAAGATTGGGGGTATTTGCGGCTTGGAATTAAGTAGAACACTGGCATACTTGGCCAGGACCTCATAGCGAGCCTTCGTTTTGGTCAAGGTCTGATCGAAAAATTGCTGACGTAGACCGCAAAGAACAGGGCGTCCATTGCAGAGCATTTCTTTTGCCTCCAATCCATGGTAGTCGGCCAGGCACGTGCGAGAGGCTGTCAACAGCTGCGATCTTTGCATGCCGCCGAGTCTGGGCCTCGCGTCCAAATTGGCGGCTCTTTGTTGAGGCTTGCCCTGTCCTATTATAAAACCGTAGATGTTGTCTAAAGACTTGGGCCTTTCCAGGAGCGGAATTTGAAATTGATTTTCTACCGACTGGCACAGCGAATACTTGCGCTCGACGGGAACTACTCGTACGGTGGGTGGTGCAACATTCGGCTTTATCGATGCCACTGGAATGCTGCTGCGCAAGTTGCCTGTCTGCGCCTTGGAGTAACGCGTTAGGAACTTGGTCAAGCGCTCCGCACAGATTGTAGCCAGAATGGAGGTGCCCGCCATTAGAACTGGCTTATCTCGTTGCTAGATTTAGATCGTCTCTTCGTCTTACTGCCTGTTCTTAGTGAATTACTTAAAACAACAATAGATTTTGAAGATTTTGGTATAAATTTTTCAAGTTTGTCGTATCAAATTGTATATAATGATATGTGTGAGCTTAAAATCAATGCATTTGTTTGATTAATACAAACTAGACAGTCGCTTCCCTTTGTGTATTCTTCAAGATTTTCACATGCAACCGGATCGAACTATTTCTTATAAACTCTCAAAATTTTGAATCTGAATATCTTTATACTGTTGTAAGTTTCGATTTATTCTCTCCTGGTTGCTGCTGATGTTAGTATTGATATATTGGCTCAGTTCTACTTGGCTTGAGTTCTACGCACCGACAGTGAACAACAACAACAACAGCACCAACAACAATAATAACAAACGGCTAACAACAAACTGCGCATGTTTAGATTTAATTGAACATTTAGCCAAATTAAAATACATTTTATTACGCAGCCAAGAGACAAAGTCTTGCAGTGAAATGCAAAACAAACCAAAACGCGCGCCCAATCAGCCAAACTCACCAAAAAGGCTAACAGACAGCCGGAGACCGACTGGGACGGAGACAGAGACAGAGACAGAGGCAGAGACAAGGACTGAGACACTGGTAATGGAGACAGAGATCTCAAGTTGTTGGCCAGGCTTTAAGCACGCAACGGTTTATTTGCCTTTTCGTAGATTTTTTTCGGCTGTGAATTGTTGCAGTTTTTTCTTATGCGAAATTTGGCACAGATTCGCAGCCATTTGAGACGGAACTAAGAGCCAAGTGGCCAACTGGTTTGCAGGGTGCCTAGAAGGGGTGGTGCGGCGGGCTGGGGCCTCGAAAGGCAGCTAACATGCGTTCTGCAATTGTTTAATAGCCTAATTAAAATGTGCGCTCGAACAGGTTAAGAGCCTGGAAAGTTGCACAGCAGCAGCAGCAGCAGCAGCACATGCAAAAGCGCTGGCATCCAGTCACAGCTGCTGGCGCTTTGTGACAGCTGACGAGTCGCAGTCACTGTGTTGCAGTCACTGTCACTGTTACTGTCAGGCGGGTGGTTTGTCACTGCCTGCCTCAGCTTCTGCATTATTTTGTATTTTTTCTCTGCATATTTCTTTTTTCGTTGCTTGCTCGCAATTACATTTGGTTGTTAATTGCATTATGCATATTTATGGACGGGCCCCCAGTTAGAGACTCAACTCCCGGACCCGGCACAATGCGGCTCATTAGCATACATCAGCGCGTTAAGAGCAGAATGAGTCTCTGGCTCTGATGGGTCTGAGTGGGTTTGAGCAAGTGTCTGAATGGGTTATATGTATCAGAGCTGTCTGTTAGTGAGTGCTAGCTTCGCATCTCTGCGAACATGGGTGTCCGAGTGTGAGTGTGTCTACTGCTCTCTCCCAGTCTGACATGCTCTGCGACTCACTCTCTCTTACTCTAATTTAAATTAAAATATGAAAAATACTCGAGGCGACAGGGAGTGCAGCAAAGAGCGAACGAGCAGCAGAAAATGTGTGTGAAAATCAAATCTAAAATAGCTGCCGGACATAACATAATCAAATTGAATGTGGCCAGTCCAAAGCACAAGAGCTGTGAATGTTCATGCTTTGTGTGGGACTTGAAGACTTGATGACAAGCATCTAAATTTAATATGAGCATTTTCTTCACTCGTATACAAAAATGCAATTGTTTTTGAAAAATAAACATCTTAGCATTTCAATGTTGGCATTCAAGGCTTAACGCATAAAACTTAAATATATATATGTAATTATGAAATTTAACAGAGGTAAAATAATTAAAACCTCTTTGGATAAACTAACCACTTTGCTCACATAGCTGTTGCTTAACATGCCATAATATATTTGAAGTTTTCTAATTCTCGATAAACTCAGATGTTGTAGCTTACACTCTCCACATATCTCTGCTTATTTTAAAGGAAAAGCTTTCAAGTGTTTCTTTTTTCCTTCTCAACACTCTACTTGGTGTGTCCAAGCAACTTCAATCAAACCTTAAGCAAACATCTGCAGCTCAACCCACTCACCCACGCACACACATACACGCTCGCATACACGCACGCACACACCTCCGCTTATGAGAATTTTCTTGCCAGCCAAGCATTGTCCAACTAGAAGTACTCGTATATATGTATATGCCTACTCTCAGTGTGAGTATTTCTTGTGACTGTGAGCTCCCAACCTCCCTGGCCAGATGCCCGGCTGCCGTTTGCTGTGCGCCTGCTATGACGCAGAGCTGTGCCGAGAGAGAAAGAGAGCGTAGGACAGTAATGAGTATGATATGGTCAGAACTAAGCACGTGAGTGCAGCACGCTTGGAAAGTCGCGACAAATGGCGGTAATAAATAAATATGCCATTAACCCACTTGGAAAGCGGACGCAACGTCATTTCCACATGCAAAAATATGTGCAAATTTTAGGCGGCATTTGTATATCAATATGAGGCAGCGGAAAACTTTCTAATCGCACAATAATTGCAAGCATAAAAGGAGAATAAGCTGCTGCGACCGCAGCTGCCATGCAACAATTAAATGTTGCCCCTGCAACATGCTGCTAACAAATTTGTAGGCATGTTGCCAAGCTCTTTTAGAGCTAGCACCGTGACCGTGAGCATATTCATCGACTGTACCAGAATTACGTGTACAATTAGAAGAAAATAGTGTATATCTTCTAGTCGGAATGTAATTGCTACTCAAAAAGCCAGGTTACTTTCGAATTATCTCTTCGTCTCTAATATAAACTAAAATAGTATTCAATTAAATTGTCTTGAATATATAAATTAAATAAAAATGATAAAAGCCAAATTGATAAATATAAGCTCAGCTGTATATATGAACAATAAATACATAACAATAGATAACAATAATAACTAATGAATCGATGATTGAAAGTCAAGTCATTGGGCAAGGCCTCACTTTTAAACAGCTAATAAAAACTCGAACCCACATCTGAGACGACATTCAATTGGGCTTGGTGTAAAAAATAATAATAAAATGAATATAGTACATTATTTAGTCGATAACTGAAAGTCAATTAGACAAAATCAATTCACGCTGCCACCTCTAATCAGCTGCTTAGCCATTTGCATTCACACCTTGGCAACATGTTGCCGAGTTAAGTGCTTGGCAGCACAATATTTGCGATTGCGCGTCCACATTAATTTATATGCCGCGATTAGGGGCAGCCCCAAAAGAGTTTTTGTCCAACATCGGATTTTGGTTCGACCGGCAATTTACAACTTTGACTAAATAAAATTTATTGTAATGACAGTCGCACGACATTTTATAATTAAGTCAAATTGTTGGCCAGCCAAAAAACCGGTACCGGTACCTGGCATGCCATTTAGCTGATCTGGCTGATTGATGTGGCTGCTCTCGCCAGTACTCCATATGCGGACGCTCTATCGATGATCGCCAGAGAGAAGGGGGTGGCATAAGCTCAGTCCAGTCCAGTCCGAGCCAGAGCCAATGCCAATTAGGCCGACCTTAATATCCAGGCAGCCCCCCTCCGGCAATTAAATGAAACGGAATGAAACGATACGGAACAGGACCCGCTGATGGTAGCTAACTCGGGCCCGGGACAGCAATACGTATCGTTTAATTGAAATAATTATACATTAAGTGCATTAATTATTTTTTCACTCGCGTTTTGCAACCACATGCAAACGTGGCGACGCGCCTGAAAGTCGCCTGCGCCTTTTTCTCCGTAATTATTAATTTAAAGCATTCGGCTCCGCTGGGTATCGTAGGATATAGCCACAATTAGTTGTTGTTCCAGCAGTTGTAGGCACACCAGTAAAAACAGCAACAACAACAACAACAACAGCAGTAAAAAGCAACGACAACAACTGCAACTTGCAACTCGTTTTGTTGTTAGCTCATAATTATTAAGGCGAAATCATAATTAAAAATATATTTAGCCAGGCTTTGAAATATGCTTAGATGGCCGCGGGGCGACGACTCCTGCAACCAGCTCCAGTTCCAGCTAGCAGCTAGTTAATATATATACCCATGGAGAGGGTGCAGCAGGACTGGCGATTTGAGGGTAGCTGAGTTAATTAAATTCAGCTAA